TAAAAAGGGGAACTCATGAAGTAACATCTATATTTGTAAGGAGGAGAGAAGCCTTGTACCAGTTTTATTTGTTGTACTTCTAAGAGTCCGTTTTGAAACAACACATGCAGTTGGGAAACTATTTGTGCAGGCAGAAACTTGTTGCCATCACACAATATCAATCTAGTCTAAATTTCTTAAGGGTTCCATGTACTTCTAGTTACTCATTCTTACTTCTAGACAGCATCAGGTATCTCCTCTTGCTTATGTTTATGCCCTATAGAAATCATAGAATGGTTTGGATTAGAAGGGACCTTAAAGATCACCTTGTCCCACCCCTCTGCCATGGACAGGAACACCTTCCGCTAGACCAGATTGCTGTAAGCTCCATCCAGCCTGGCTTTGAACACTTCCAGGGATGAGGCAGCCACAACCTGGGCCTCATGACCCTCATAGGTAAAGAATTTTCTTCTAATCTAAACCTACTATCTGTCAGTATGAAGACCTTCTTTCTTGTTCTGTCACTCCAGGCCCTTGTAAACAGTCTCTCTCTGTTTTTCTTGGAGGCTCCTTTTTAGTTAAGAAATATGCTGTTTGTATACTTGGTGGTGGTGGTTATTCTCAAAATCTGTCGGTGTCTCTGCTAACAAGAAGCTGGTGGCTGTTCCCCACGAGCCAGCTGTAAGAGCTGCCTGTGTGGTGCTGAGGTGGATGGAGTCTGTCAGGACGGGAGATTGCTGTAAGTGCACCTCAGCACTCAGCTGCAATGCAGCAACTCCTGGCTCTCTGCTCAGTCTTTCTGAGGCCTCTTGTGGGTGTTCTTGCTTTACTTTTCTTGACACTTTCTTTTACTTTCCCCTGTCAGTTCTCCAGGTTATTTTCCTCTTATGGTATGTCCAGACAGGACTCCTTTTTTCTACTTCTGTGTTTTGACTGCCGTGATGCATATCCCCTGAAAAAAGACTCCGCAACAGAAGAACATAGAAAAGCACTGCTCAAATGTTGTCTTGTTACTGCTGTCAGATAGAAGGTCACTTAAGGATGACAAGGAGGACAGAGGCAGGAATGTGACAGGAAGTTCAGGCAAGGAAGACAGCAGACAAGCCGAACACGACTTAGGAAGCTGGTCAGTGGAAGGCAGTGAAGGGCTGTGGCAGCAGGTGTCAGGAGGACGTGTTCTGCTGCACTGACAGCATGCTCAGGGTTGAACAGCTGTAGCCACAGCAGTGGTGGGCTGTGCACATGTACACAGGCAGTCAGCAGAACTCCTGGGGACCAGTATACCAGTGAAATACTGGTTGTGTGCCTTTGTGTCTCTGCCTTGCTGCTGTGCCTCACCTCTGCTCTGTCCTCTGTTTCACCTTCCCAGAGCTGTGAGAGTGGTCCTTTCAGCTGGGAACAGGCTGTGGTCTTCCTCATTTCCTATGGCCAACAGTGGTTTTGCCCTCCATCCAGTGATGTGTTCGTGCAGATTAATACATGTAAATGGAATCAATGAAGGTAAAAAGGAGATAGGACTGTGGATACAAACAGAGATGGGTCAGGGATAGGAGTCTCAGGTAGATGATTTTCCAGGAAGGAGGGTGTGTCAGTGCTGTTTTGCACTGCAGTTTTTCCCATGGATTCTTCTTGATTAAGACAGATTCCATCCTGCTGAAGAAGAGGGGGAGAGACAGATCATGACCTGTAGATAGATGCACCTTCAAGATCTCTTTCAAAAGCCATAATGGTATTGGAATGCTCTTTAGTATGAAGACTTTTCTTTTTTAATGTCACTGTTGTGAAAAATTTGATGATTGTCCATCACTGTCTTGTATCGCACATGTGTTTGAGAGCAAAATAAGGTTTTAGGTAAGGTGAGATACTGCTTGTATGTTCTTTTATCAAAGTTTATATAGATGAAGCATTTTTGTATCTTGGGAGTCTGGTGGGCTTGCAGCAGGAAGACAGTTGAACAGTTGCACAGTAATATATTATCTATGAGTGATTTCAGAAGTAGGAACATGAGAACAGAGGCAAAGGCATGAGGCAGTCAACGGATGAGATCGAATGTGCTTTTGCTAGAGCTGCCTCTCTTTTCTCATGTTTGTTCTTTCTCTGTGTTTCTCTATTTCAGTGCTTAGCAAAGGGAACTGAAGGAAGTTCTAAAACATAAGACCAAGAATTAGAGTAGATTTAGCTTGCTGACCTTGTTCTTCAAGCTCTAAGTTGTTCTTTAGAGCAGCACCAAAGTGGGCCTTCAGTTTTACCCATGTAGCCAGTCAGTCTCCGTGAATGGCTGTGCTGGGGACCTGGGCTCTTCTGAATGACTGTCAGATGTCCCCAGCTGACTGACAGGCAGCAGCTGGCCCGGTGGTCTACCCTGTGCTGGAAGGAGGCCACAACGTGTGGCTTGACAGATAACAGATCTTAAATGCAGGCTCAAGAGAGGAGCATTTTCTGGGCCATTTCTTTCCGCTGACTCTGCCTGGGTCAGAGTGTCGGGGTGCATACGTGGGAGCAGACCGCTCTGTTCTCTTCCAGCTGTTCTAGGGGCTCCAGGCTCATGGCAGAAGATATTTGCAGCTTTGCACAAAGTTGCAGTTTTTTCTGTCTGCTGCCTGCTGCTCTCTCTGTGGCCACACCTGCCATTGCTTTCTTACGTCAACACTTGCTGAATTCACCTGCTTGGATTCCAGCACTGGTGACTCTCCTACCTCCTGCCTTGCTTCTCTGTCCGTAACAGTTATAGCCCATATTGGTTCTTTGCTGGTCATCCATTCCTCTCCTTCCTGCAGTTTCCTTTATAGATACAAGCATGAGGAATAGCTAAGACTTGTGGTGATCATAGAGGGCACTGAGCTGGGCCTTTGGGAGCAATAGTGGATTTGGGTAGTTAATTTGGAGATGCGGGTCCAAATTACTTTTAGAATTATGTTTTATTACAATACATATTTATATATTTAGAAATGATAGCAATTAGGAGATAAAGATGAAATAATTTTTTTAAAATAATTGTATATGTTGACTGTGCACTAAATATTTTCTTCCCACCCCTAGTGGACTGGCTTGCATACCCTCAGGAAGTGCACGTATCTCACTTTGGGGTCCAGTCGTGTGTTTCTCCCAGTACTTTTGCAGTCTGCAACTACTGAGCCAAGTATGTCTTCCATGTTGTTAGCACCCTTTTGGAAGAGGGTTCCATGGGCTGATACCCACAGTGTGACAAACTCATCCCTCCAGTGGTCTGTGAGCCTGACCCTTCTGCTGATGGCCAGGGTTTGCTATTCTGGCAGGGGCAATGAACAGTCAATACCTGACTGTGCTCCCCAGGCCAAATGTGATTCTGCAGAGCTCTGGCAAATGCCCCTTTAGATCACCTTGGATCACTTCTTTCCGGATGAAAAGTCACAATATATTTACCTTTACTTCCCTGGATGCATTTTGATATGCTAAGAATTTCTGTGCCATTATTATCCTTGTTTCAGCTCTGCTGTGCCATCACTGAACTGCAGGAGCCAGAGCTGCACGCAGACCTTCACTTGTGGACACACCATGACCATGACACACTGATATCCTCTGTTCCCTCCACTCTTATTTCTTTTCTTTATGACTTTTTTTTGACCTCTAATAACCAGTGAACTAGTATTTTTCTGGAAGTGTCTGTTCAAACAAGGTCTTGGTTCTGGTGGACAGCAATCAGCTTAGGGCCCATCACTTTGTCTGTGATTCTTGGATTGTTTTTTCCCCTTTTGTAATTCAGTTCAATATGCATTGAACTACATTTCCATCTTCCTTTTGAGCATTCATTCTGTCTCATAAAGCCCTTCTGCAATTCTTGAAGCTGGCCTTCATCCTTATCAGCACGAATAACTTAGCATTACCAACAAACTTCTTCACTTCCTTGCTTTTTTCCTGGCTTTTTTTGGTTCTTTTTTTCAGGGGTTGTTTTAAATATGCTGAAAAGGAGGCATCCCAGTAGAAGTTTATACGTGCCTTTCTTTTGTTTTCAGAACCAATTACTTTTGCCTCGTTTCTATCCTTTAACCAATTGTTTATCCATAATGGATGCCATTGCCTCTTGGTTTCCTTAAAAGACTTTGTAGAGGGACTTGGCTTTCAGAGGACTTTTATAGTATGGTTATTCTTATTTTTGTTCTGGTTCAAATGCCTAGAGAGTGTGTGTGTGTCTGTATTTTTGCATATATGTGAACATATATGAACTGATACATATTGACAATTCTCACTATGAGACCATCTCTCTGTTTTGAATTGCATTTTACAGGCAGTCATTATTTTACTGGTGGTTTTCCTTGATGGCTATAAACTTCTAGAATTCAGAATTAGATTTACTGTGTGTCTTGTGTCTAAGCTCGTGTCTCTCAAGAGCATGCAGAAGTCAACATAAATGCCAGGGCTTTAGAATGCCTACAGGGGCTGCTGACAAACTACCACATCCATTTCTTTATTTTATTTTATTTTAAAAGCTTGATCTGGGCCATGACCTTTTTTATAAAGGATTCATGTTGCGTTACGAACTTACACTGTTCTCTGGTGTAGGCGAAGTAGAAGGCTCTCAATGGGAAATGTTTATCCTAGTGTTTGCCTGTGCTGGTTTCTGTCTCCTGGCTGATCAGAGCCGCCTGCTCGCAGTGCAGCGCACGCAGTGGGAGTGTGCTCACAGCAGCACGTGAGCTGCACCAGCGTGGACTGCGGGTTGCTGCTATGGGGTGTTCCCTTCAGGCTGAAGGTAGAGCTTTCAGCTGTAACTGCTCTGGATATGCTGCTGACCACTGAGTGTTTTCCCAAACCTAGTATTTTCCCTCCCTGTTTCCTGCCTACTTTGTCCCTGAATGCCTCTTCATGATATCCAAGATACACCAGTCACAGAGCTCGCATGCTTTGTGTTGCTGCTTAGCGCTTATCAGGATGGTCAAAACGGGTAATCTGTTGAGGCCTGTGTCGCATGATGTACAAATGTCTTGGCAGCTGCAGAAAGAGGAACCAAACTGGCTTTTCTTTCTGTTTTGCTTTTCCTCCAGCGCCCTGGGATGCCATCAGGAGCTCGAATGCCCCATCAGGGGGCTCCCATGGGTCCTCCAGGCCCCCCATACGTTGGAAGCCCCTCAGTGCGACCGGGGATGCCCCAGACTGTGATGGAAACAACACGAAAACGCACTGCACCACAGCAGGTCCAGCAGCAGCAGGTGCCGCAGCAGGTGCAACAGCAGCAGCAAGCCACTCAGAACCGAGCTAGGAGGTGAGTGTTCTGGAAAGAAAACACAGGAGGACAATTTGAGGAAGCAAAGGTGATACCTGTTTAGCAGTAGATAAGACTTTTAAGATCAAATGAGACAGAATAGAAGATCTATGTACTGGCAGTTTTATAAGCAGGAAAAGCATTAGTAAATTTTACTTTTTTTGTGTTTATGAATGGTCTTGAACAAACCAACCTTTAATAATGTCTGGTTTTGAAATTATTCTGCTTTTACTTTGCAGGTTTGTCAGGCCATAAATTTGTCTAGAGTGTTTAGCCTTTAAAATTAATAAACAGCTCTCTTCTAATATAGTACAATTGTTTTATTATTTTTTGCCTGTTCAGTATTGTTGCTCTGATTTCTGAATGGCTAACCTAGTAGTTTGTAAATGACACAAGCGGAAAAAACTTTGGTTTGTCATGTGAATGTTTGTACTATGGTCACTCAGAAGAGTGGTCATAAAACTTGCAGTTGTCCCAAGTGTTTTTACATATAAAGTGGATAAATATGCACTGGAAGTAATTTCATAAAATTAGAGTGATTTCTGTGTGGAACTTTCTTTTTGAAATATGCCCACCTTGTACATTGATGAATGCATTCTCTCTTGAGTAGGTTAACTAATTTCTTTTTGCAGCACATTAGACCCCATCAGTCTTGAGTGTTGAATGTGATCCACATGCACATAGGGTGCAGTCATCTGCATGGGCTACCTTTTGCAAAATCATTATAGATGTATATACAGCTTCAGGCAGTGTTCTGGTGGAATCCAGCTGTAGGTAAAACATGACTCTCTAAGCTCAGTTCTTCAGGAGTCCTGCTCTGTCCAGGTTATATACCTTGGATCAGCAAGCCAGATTTGGGAATGCTTGTGTCTGGGATGCATCTGGAAAGGACACTGATCTTGAGAGTATTAATACATTACAACTGAAAAATGTTGAACACAGAAGGAATGTGAGTGAATGCAGAACGTGAGCACAAGCAGTGCATGTGCCTCTTGGAGGCCTTTCCCAGCAGCAGCCAAAATGCACATTCTGTAGCACCTCCCAGGAGGTTCTCCAGGAAACTGCAAAATAATGTCCAGCCTTCAGGTACTAGGGTGGATATAACCTGAAAAATTGCCCCTGCTATATAATTAAGGTAAACTTTAGTCACTAACTAGTTTCCAGGGAGCATTAAAGGACAGTATTAGCTAAAAGTTGGTGGCCTGACTCACAGAAAAAAAAAGTTCCCCTCCCCTTTTCTTAACTTCAGTGTTTCTAGTTTGAGACCCAGCAGTGATCTCTACTGCATTGAGCCCAGTTCACACCAGTGCTGCCTGGGTACTCAGTGAGTTTCTCTGTTTCTTCTGCCGTGCCTTCCCTTCAGATAATGTATTGAATGTTTTCCCTTTTTTCGTTTCCACTTCCCTGTCGTTTCTCATTATGTGTTTTTCAGGCACTCTTTTCTGGCACCTTGGGTCCAATTCTGGGGGTAAAATTAGTTCCATGTTTTCTAGTATGGACCAAGAAAGTTGCACTTGTCCTTTCTTGGCAGGTTTGGTGGAGATAAAAATCTCATTTCTGTAAGAGATTATTGAAGAACTGGTTGAGATCCAAATTATTTGTGGATGTTGCTTTGTTTTTTTATTGCTTTTTATTTGCAAGCCTATGGGGTTGTTGCAGGTACATGCATATCCCATTCCCTTTGGGAGGCTGGGGCTTGCTCAGCCTTTACTACCAGATTCTGTGAAGTGTTTCAGTGCAGATTTCATTTTGTGAGCTGTGGAAGGTGTTGGAGTTTCACACCATGTGACATTCCATTCCCCTTATTCCTACACTTTTTAAAAGGAACATTGTTCACCTATTAAGTTGGGTATAACTGAGTTTTCTGCCCGCTGTACCCCAGGCACAAAGAGTTCCTCGGCCTTGGCTTATGTGGGAATGGGTAAGAGTCTTAAGAATCTGGTATTTCAGCCCTGGCTCATTATTAACAAATGTAGAAAGAGAGTATGCCACACCAGTGTGCTTGGAAACAGCTTTTATGTGGACACAGCTGATGACAGACTTCCAGTGTGAAGACAGTAAGGAGAGTTGTCCTTGTGACATGGCAGAGTGGCAGCAGGTGGTTTGCTTGCTCCCATTTGTCTGTCACAGATGGAGTGATTAATTTCCTGGTTAAGATAAAGGCCTCACAAGTTAAAGAGATGAAGAACAGGACCTGAATTCCCTCTTGGCCCTGTTAGAGGAAGCTGGGTGACAGGTTTGGTGGGCATGAACAATTCTTAGAATCTGAATACAGTCTTCCTGACAGCAGCATTTCTTAGGCACATAGACATTTGTGTTTATGTATGTGAGTACAAGTGTGTTTTTAAAAGCATAACTATAGAAATGTGCCTATGTATGGGTATGGATGCAGTATGTATACACACTGCAGGCACACATACATCTTCCCACGTGTGTTCATAAAGATGAAGAAATGTTGAAATGTAAGTTTTCTACGTTTATCTATCACTCATGCAAATATGTTTAACAAGTGTGTTTGTACATATGAAGGAAGGGTGTCCATATATGTGTGTTTTCACACATCATATGAAATACACACATATGTTTGTGTTGTTCAGCACTTAATTTTGGGCACAATTGAATAATTGTGTGTTGTCTGTTTGAATAAGTTGACGTGCCATTTGCAGGCACTCAGCCACTCAGATGTGCACACGCATAGGTGTGTCTGTGCACACGTGAGGCTGGGCTCTGCACGCCTGTCTGTACCTGGAAGCAGTGTGTGCACATGCACTTGCATATATTGCCTCCCTGCTCCACGGAAGACACTGTGATCAAAGAACTTACAGACTTCTTTCCAGGATGCATAACAGACAGCCCTGATTTGTTCTTACCTAACTGCCTCCCCAGGCTGCTGAGAGAAGGGGTACGAGAGGTCCTGGGCATGGGTGAGACCCTTTTGCTGATGCATGCACAGCTGTGCACCAGCATGTGGAGATGTCAGGATAATTTAGCAGGTGGCCTCGTTACTCCTAGATCTGTCACCATGGTAACGTGTTTTTTTCTTTAAAAAATGTACAGTGCCAAGAGGAGGAAGATGGCTGACAAAATTCTCCCTCAGAGGGTGAGTCGCTTTCATTTCCTATTCCCTTCACAATCAGTTCAGCATCTTAGTGTAATTAGAGGAATTCTAGAAAATTCTTTGACTTTTTGTTTAAAAATCTAATTAAAAAGTAAGTAGGCAGTGGGTGAAAGTCTGGAGAGCCAGGCTGGGGCTGGGCTGGGGGCTGGGAGCAGGGAGCAGCCCGGCCTGCGCGGCCTCGTGCCTGGGTTAGCCGAGCCAGCACTGCCGCTTGCTGGAGGGACCGTGGCGCTGGGCTGCCAGGCGGCAGCTCGGCACCGGGGCCTCGGGTCTCCATGAGGCTCTTGATCCTTTCTTGAGGCTGCCCAAAACCTGGCCCAGAGTGTGGCTCTACCTGAGGGATGGGCTCATGCTCAGCTCTCTGGCCCAGCAGAGCTGACAGGTCATGATTTTTATGGTTGTGTCACCGTAGGGCTGAAGTGAACCCATCCTGTAAACAACAGAGTCCGAGGGGTCTGTATTGTCTAGAGAGTTACTAATTCTCTTGTCCCTGGGGATGCGTCTGGCTTTTGGTGTCTGCCTATGTTTGATCCTCAATGCTTACCTCTTCTACTTCCTTTCCAAACACTGGGATTTCTCTCTGCTCTCCTCTCTCATTATTCCCATACTTTTCTTTTTCTTTACCCTCTTTAGTACAGTTCTCAAGAAACTGCTTGGTCCCTAAAGGCTTCAAAATACATACCCTTGCAACATCCTAATCTAAGTTGCTTTGACTGCTGGTGCATTTTCTGGGTTCAGAATCCCTTGGACAGGCGTCTTTTTCCTCCATATCCTTTTCAAGTTTTCAAGCTCCACTGCTAAAGTGAGCCCAAACTTGCTGGCAGGCTCCAAAGTCATTTCTGTGAGATTTCACAGGTGCCTACTACCAGCCATCCAAAGAGGTGAGCCCACTTTGGTACTCCTGATGTTACGCTATCACTTCTTCTCTTGTTATTCCTGCCACTTTCTGAAAGCAGAGCCTTTCATACGTGAGCCATTAGATCTCTTATGTTGCTGTCTTGAAAGGACTAAGCTACCATTAAACCCAGACCTTTGAACCACTTGCAGTCTCCCTGGTAATTATGTTGAAGCCTCATTCCTGTTCTGCTGGTGGTCAGTACCTTTTTTATAATGAAAGATAAGTTTCTTGTACTGTCAGTTTATTCTGTCCCACACAAACTGTTTTCACAATGATACATCCTGTATAGTGAGGCTGTTGCTGGAAATAAATGTCTATTTCAAGATGCTTTTAGTTTTGTTTTGGGTTGGTTGGTTGTGGGAGTGTTTTTATTTTATTTTTGGTTTTTATTTTGCATGTTGCCTTTATAAGATTAAAAGGTGTAAGAGGTAATCAAACTTTTTTGCCAGCAGAAGATCACTGACTCTGTTTACCAAGTCCATGATAATTCTTTAATAGGTAAAGCCTTATATAGATAGGTGTGTCAGAAATCTCTACAGATGCTTTCAGAACCATATTGTCACCAAATATTCTAGCTTTTCAGTATCTTTGTTGCTGCCAGCCAATAGCTTTAACTGGTGGAGTAATAAGGCATTTGCTAGAAGTCTCTTCTGCAGTGGGGTTTTTATCAGTGCAGCTGCAGTACTGGTATCAATGATGTGACCTCTCTCTGGGTTAAGGTACACTGTTAGGCCGCAGTTAGCGTGGCAGAAATCCCTTACACCATCTCTGGAATGAAGAAATTCTGTGTACATCATTGTCCTGTCAAGTGGAAGATGTGCACTGGTGGCTGTGGAATGCATGTGAAACATGGGGTAAAACTTCCAGCTTTCTGGAAGTACCTCTGGAGTGTTTTCCAGCCAGTCAGCATCTGTTACCCACAGACTTTTTGCAGACTCTTGCTAATGTTTTCTGGGAACTTTGAAGGGGAGAGGGGAAGATATTAAGTACATTTGACTCTTAAAAATGATCTTATGTAGTAGTGGAAAAGGAGGTGGGTTCTCACTGTTCCTCACTACTGTTCTGACTATGATAATGACTCGGGCAGTTGGCATAGGTAACATCTTGTTGGTCAAGCCTATGCCATAGTCCTGGGACGTCATGCTGGTTGGGTAGGATCACTGAGTCACTCCAGGTCAACTGTTTGAGAAGGATTTACTTTCACAGGAATGTAATTGTATGAAAAATTCAACCCAGCAAACTTTGCACATAGGAAGATTGGATTGGGGAACTGCACATGGCATCTGGTTCCCTCTGTCATGGAAGCCATGACACAACTGCCACTTCAAGACTAATTAGGTTCCTTACATGAGACATACTTTTGATCTGCCAGCTTTTTTTTTTTTGTTGTTGAAGGGAAGTACTTCTAGTTTGCCAAGTTAGAGAGGCTCCCCTCTTGAAATCCTCTTAGTAATTTGTTTTATCTGATCCTGGTTAAATTAATGTCTTTCAAACATTTTTAAATCTACCTCTCAAGAAACCAGAATTATACATAGTATTACAGGTTGCCAGTGTTTACCATGCTTGAATGCTGCTCCTGCATTTTTAGCTCTATTGGAAATAGCACTGCAAATTGAGATTGCTGTGTTTTTGCTTTTTTTTTTTTTTTTTTTTTTTTTATTGGCCTTTCCACATTGATACAGCCTCTGGTCATTCTGTGATTGGCTAATACAAGTATTTCTGCTTTCTGTCATATGCAACTGATGAATTCCCATATTAGAGCAGGATTTAGACCCTGAGGCATGATCCTGTGTGTTGTAATGCTATATATCATCCCATCTCCATTATACAGTTCTGAGCTTCCTTACATTCTCTGTACTATCCTCTTCCTTGCAACGATAGTGACACTCAAATGTATAATTACTGAGTTTTCTTAGCATACTTCTCCTTTTTTGTACAAGAACACTTTTTTCCTATGCCAGGTCTTGCTCCAGCTCCCATTTTTCAGTCTTAAGGAGTGATTCCCTTCATGACTGTATGTCAAATCTTTTACTTAAATGCAAGTTGATTGCATCGACTGCATATCTTTTGTCTAAAATACAATTTTAATGACCACAAGGACTTTGGTTACACTCGCTCTGACATACTGTAACATAACAAGGCTTAGTATTTTTTATAGTGTATTTAACATTGACTCCAGTGCTGTCCAGCAGGTTCTTTCCTGCCCTGTTTTCCTCACTTCTGGATCTTTCCCTTGTTCACATTTGGCTGTTGCTGGAATCCTCATTCAGTTTTGGAGAAGTTCACAGGCATCCATGACTGAGGACCTAAATCTCTGGAGCTGATGTTACCCTTGTGACCCAGGTTTTGCAGTTATGCTTCAATTTTGACCTCAGACCACAAACCATCTGTAGGAGCACATGACTGCACCTCAGATTGTACCTCTTTCTCCAGGCCTTGCCTCCTCATTACTTCTGGTCAGTCTTATTTTCTCTTAGTATTGAGTAATTACATTTTTTCCCAGGGAGCTGTGAATGTGATTCACCACTCCCATTCAGATGCAAGAATCTCAGCTGAAAGCCATTCTGGCTCCATAGCTGTGCCTGTCTCTGCTTTTCCTTGTTTAACTTCCTGAGTGGAGTGCAACTTTGAAACAGCAAACTGCCCCTCCTTCAGTGGCTTGCTTGTCTCTTAGTATTGGTTACTGTTCCCTGAATTCCTGAGGACTTTTTGTCTAGCGGTGCTGACAGGGTTTTGTACACCTGTCCTTTCCTTTTCATCTTCTCTACTTCATTTTCCTTTACACTAATATTTAGTCAATTTTTGCTGCTGCTGTTCACTGACCACCATGTGGAATTCTCTGCACAGATCCCATGCCATAATAGCTGTCCTGCTGTGGTTTGGTCACTGCATGGCTGTTGTCCACCTCTTTCTTCATCTGAGCCAACCAGAGGTGAGGAACACCTGGATCTGCCATTCTTTCATGTAAGAAAGAAGAGGTTAGGGGTGTGATAATCAGTGGTAGCCTTGGATATAGCAATTGTGAAATAAAGAAATTAAAGATCTTGCTGGGGATGAGGAAGGAGGGTAGTCAGGTACAAACCCTGGACTTTAGACAAGCAGAGTTTGGCTTATTCAGGGAACTGATAGGTGTGATTCCTTGAGAAACAGCTCTGAAGGGCAAAGTGGCTCAAGGAAGCTGGGAGATCTTTAAGGACCATTAAGAGCAGCCTGTTTTAAATGCAGGAAAATGAGCAGATTTATGAGGAGCCCAGAATAGGGTAATCACAGTGGTGGTCCCAGCATCAAAAGGCAATGTACAAGAAGTGAAGCAGGGACAGGCTACAAAGGAGGAGTTCAGAAACATTGCCTGGCATGCAGGGAATGGTATCAGCAAAGTCAAAGCTCAGCTGTAGTTGAGATCTTCAAAGGACATCAAGGACAAGAAGAGCTTGTACTATTGGATTAGTAATAAAGGCTGACCAAGGAAAATGTGTACTCTATGCTGAGTGGGCTGGGTGATCCAGTGATGGCAGAGACAATAAGTCTGAAGCACTCAAAGCCTTCTTTATTCAGTCTGCACTAATGATGCCTCCATGCCCTGTGGTCAGTGAACACATCCAAGAGGAGCAGGCGACAGTGGAGGGGGATAGGGCCAGGGATTAGTTGAGGAAACTTGACCTGTACAACTCCATGATATCCAACAGATTGCATCTGGGGGAGCTGAGAGAACTGGCCAATCTCCTTTCGAGGCTGCTGTCTCATACATAATAGTCTTGTATTCAGGTAGGGACATTTTGGTCGAAATGGGCTGACAGCCATGTGGGCGGATGATGAGGCTGAGAAGGTGGCTAATGGTTGCTCTTGGCCCTGAAGATAGTGACATTAGAGTGCTGCAGGGATGTGTCGTGTGCGTCATAGCAGCCATTCAATCCAGCATCTTCGCCATTGGAGGAGGCAGTGCAGTGCTTGCTTAGAAAATCTACAGATGACATCAGTCTCTGGGTGGAAAAACCAGTTTATATGCTTGTGGACATGCTGGAGGAATGAACCTACAAGAACTGTATGAAAGTCAAGTAGGTCAAATGTTCTTCCTTGAGAAAGA